CCCAAACTGATCTACAGATTCAATGCAATACCTATTAAAATCCCATCAGCATTCTTCACAGATATAGAAAAAATAATTTTACGCTTCGTATGGAACCAAAGAAGACCCCGAATATCAAGAGCAATTCTAGGCAACAAAAACAAAATGGGAGGCATTAATATGCCAGATATCAAACTATACTACAAAGCTGTAGTAATTAAAACAATATGGTATTGGCACAAAAACAGGAATATTGACCAGTGGAACAGATGTGAGAATCCTGATATAAAACCATCCTCATATAGCCATCTCATCTTTGACAAAGCAGACAAAAACATACGCTGGGGAAAAGAATCCCTCTTCAATAAATGGTGCTGGGAAAACTGGATAGCCACCTGTAGAAGGCTAAAAGAGGACCCACACCTTTCACCTCTCACAAAAACCAACTCACGCTGGATAACAGACTTAAACCTAAGATATGAAACTATTAGAACTCTAGAGGAAAAAGTTGGAAATACTCTCCTAGACATCGGCCTGGGCAAAGAGTTTATGAAGAAGTCCCCAAAGGCAATCACAGCAGCAACAAAAATAAAGAAATGGGACATGATCAAACTACAAAGCTTCTGCACAGCCAAAGAAATAGTCATGAAAGTAAACAGACAACCTACAGAATGGGAGAAAATTTTTGCATCCTATGCATCCGATAAGGGACTGATAACTAGAATATACTTAGAACTCACGAAAATTAGGAAGAAAAAATCAAATAACCCCATTAAAAAGTGGGCAAAGGACTTGAACAGAAATTTTTCTAAAGAAGACAGAAGAATGGCCAACAAACATATGAAGAAATGCTCAACATCTCTAATCATCAGGGAAATGCAAATCAAAACCACAATGAGATATCACTTAACCCCAGTGAGAATGGCCTTTATCAAAAAATCTCCAAACAATAAATGCTGGCGTGGTTGCGGAGAGAGAGGAACACTCCTACACTGCTGGTGGGACTGCAAACTAGTTCAACCTCTGTGGAAAGCAATATGGAGATACCTTAAAGCGATACAAGTGAATCTACCATTTGATCCAGCAATCCCATTGCTGGGCATCTACCCAAATGATCCAGTGACACTCTACAAAAAAGACACCTGCACTCGAATGTTTATAGCAGCACAATTCATAATTGCAAGGCTGTGGAAACAGCCCAAGTGCCCATCAATCAAAGAATGGATTAATAAAATGTGGTATATGTACACCATGGAGTACTATTCAGCTCTAAGAAACAATGGTGATATAGCACACCTTATATTTTCCTGGTTAGAGCTGGAACCCATACTACTAAGTGAAGTATCCCAAGAATGGAAAAACAAGCACCAGATATATTCTCCAGCAAACTGGTATTAACTGAGTAGCACCTAAGTGGACACATAGGTGCTACAATAATAGGGTATTGGGCAGGTGGGAGGGGGGAGGGGGGCGGGTATATACATACATAGTGAGTGAGATGTGCACCATCTGGGGGATGGTCATGATGGAGACTCAGACTTTTGGGGGGAGGGGGGGAAATGGGCATTTATTGAAACCTTAAAATCTGTACCCCCATAATATACCAAAATAAAAAAAAATAATTAAAAAAAAATCTTCTTAGTCCTATTAGGGATTGAAGCCAATGAGAAGCTGAGTTTCAGTCTTTGTGAGGGCTGGTCTATTTCCAGTTTACCTCTACTCTTTGGTTGTAGCCCTCTAGGGATCCCAGCGGAAAGCTGTGAGTGTGTATCAGTGCTTCTTGTTGGGCGTTTTCTGGACTCCTACTTTTGTCTTCTCCTTCACTCACTGTCCCCACACCCCACCCCATGACCTGCAAGATTGCTAAAAGTACTGCTCTATTTCTCAGTTTCTCAGCTGCTGCTTTTGGTCTGTTTCTTAGCCTCCAAGACATTGCTTGCTAATTAGCAAGTGCTTCAAGAAGGAAAATAGTGCCAAATATAATCTCTCGTTTTCCAGATCTTGGCCCTTCAAGTTCTTGCTGTTTAGATAGCTTTCCAGTGACTTGAAACAGATTTTAAAAATATTTTCTGCCAGCTTTTCTAGTTGTTTTTGGTGAGAAAATTGGTTTGCAGTTAGCTAATCTTCCTTTATCAAAAGCAGAAAATAGACCTTGGAGTAAATCATTTAACTCTTTGAGTCTCAGTTTTCTCATCTATAAAATAATGATCCTAACTACATTTATCATGCTAGTATTACTGGGAAAATCAAATAATATAATCAAATGTAAAAAATTTCCTAAACTCTGTGGTACAGAAATGTAATTTGTATGGTCCCAAATACTTTATACTTTCCTCTTATGAGGATACAAGGCATCTGCAAGTGAAACCATTAAATAGTTCAAAACTAGTCCCATTCAACAACTGCAATTCAACCAGGCTACTCATGGGAAGTAGTAGTCAGTAGCATGTACATAGTTGAAATACATGCAACATCTCAATACTTCCAAAAAATTATATTAAGGGATATAATGTAATAAGATAGCTGTAGGTTAAAGTATTGATTCATGTACATTCAAGTGGTGAAATCTGAAAACAGCTGCATTCCCCCAGACCCTCTCTCTATTAAAATTGGCTCTGTAGGTAGTTCTTGCCCCTTTGGAAGGAATCTCAGGTTGCTGTCTTGTTTTTTCTGCTCACTCATGGATAATAAAAAGTCCTTAGCTTTTTCTAATCTCTCTCACACACAATTTCTCTCATTTCAGTATTTTAAAAGTCCAGTCCTTGGTAAAAATTAAAAAAAAAAATCAAACTTCAAGGTTAAAGCTTTTCTCCTCCTTTGGAACTGAGAAAGGAGAGGTGTGCTTAGCTTCTTCATGTCCTTGCTCCTCCCTCTGCACTCACTAGGATACCCCCGATTCTCCCTGGGTTGGGGAGTGGTAGTGGGGTGGAGAGGTAAGGAATAGGAAAGTTCTTTTGGGTCTGATACTGCTGTGAGTTGGCATCAGTGCCTTCTGTACTTGCTAAGTATTTAATGCTGGCTCATTCTTGTGTGTGTTTTGGACCTTCCCACCTCCTGATTTCTGGGGATCTCTTGATGTAATGTATTTTTCTGACTGGGCTGTTGAATTAATCTCTCTCAGCCTCTAGCAATATTAGTGGTCAACTGCTGTTAGGTGTCACTTCACTCCTCCAGAAATTCCTTTGGACCGGGTTTAACACCATTCCTCAGCCAATTTGCTTATGCTGGAAAACATTCACATGAGAGATAGTCTGTCTTTATCTTGAAAAATTCTGGCCATGAAAAATCTCCCCAAAGCATCAATCTCTCTTTGCTCAACTATCAGAGTATTATCCAGCCACAAGCTCTTGGATTTCTCAGCATGATTTGGACAGTAGCCTTCCTGGGTCCCAAGTTCTCTTTAGTGGTTCTGATGAAGTGCCTTTCCTTAGATATTAAATGAACAGGTCTCACATAACATTGGCAACAGTGACAACAGTGGCCACACATACTGTTAGAACTCTCTCTGGCTTCTCCAGTCTTTTTCATAGATTGGAAGTCATACACTGGTTTCTAGACATCTGCTTTGCAAGTTCTGCTTTGGTGGTGCTGTACCTCACTTTATAATGTGGGGGTCATTGGCACTTATTGCCTTGGGGTCCCAGCCAAAACTGAGATGGGAAGGGACCTATTTTTACCTCCTATTACACATGCTTAAAAGAAATCTTCAGAACCAAAAAAGCCCACTCTTATAAAACAGCACGCATGATATAGATTTTGCACATTGAGATCTTTACAGAATGAAGAGTTGCTTTACTTCTCTAGCGTATGCATTTTTCCTAGTATGGTCATAATGTTCTCAAGATGCCACAGGCTGGAGAGGGAAAGGTGAGGGGCTGCCCCCAAGCGGTCTCACAGGCAGAAACACCAAGGAGGGATAGAGGGAAAGAACTGGAAAGGACTGTGTAAGAGCTTGCCTGAGACACTTCCCAGGGGCTCCCACGAATAAAGGGGTGATGAGTGCTGCAGCCTGTGTCATCTGCTGACACAGAAGGTGTCACCTGATGATTCAGGGGCCAAGAGCGACTGAACATGGATTACCATCTTTAATGTGACCCCTTTGTTCTCTATTCCCAATAGGCATCGTCACATTTTCCTTCAGGAAAACTGTACTTATTTAACTCCCACTAGCAGTATGACACTATCTGATAAAAGCCATTTTATATGAAAGTGTTTATTGGGTGAAAATTACCCAGTCGATATTGATACATTTTAATAAAAATTACCCAGTATCAGAATTAGGGCAGAGCCGTGTCCGGAGTGGAGGGTGAGAAGGCCGCCCGGCAGGAACGCGCGAACCAGCCTCCCCAGTTCAGTGTCGCGGGGTGCGAGTGCCCGCTCCGCGCCAGGCGCCGAGGGCGACAGCATCGACCTAAGACATTACACTCGCCTTCCAAGACGCTCCCTCGGATTTTGCAAACGTCGTTCCGCCTGAGGCACCCGACAGGGCTATTTCCAGTCCTCAGGCTCGACTTCCACCCCCGTCAAACGGTGGTACAAGCCCGGCCCTGTCAGCTCCTTTGGGCTGTTGTGGGACGCCGAGACATAAACGAGAAGGAGCTTTTCGAACCGCGGAGCGTAGTGCACCTCCAGGGAATTATTTCTAAAAATAGAGTGCGAGGGGAGGAAGGGAGAGGCCGACTGGCCCAGCGCAACAGGAGGCCGGGGGCGGGGACGCTACGGCTCGCCCAGGCGGGCGACCGGGAGGTGGCTCTGGGGCGGTCGTCTAGCCCATCCCGCTACTGGATCCCGGAGGCCCGATGACTCGGCCGCCAGCCGCTGCCTCCGCCAACCTGCCCAGGCCGCCCTCCTCAGCGGGCCCCGCCAGTCACAGACCCTCCCCCTGCCGGCCAGCCCGCCACAGAGCCAGCCCCGGCAGGTCCCGCCCCCGCCGGCCGCTGCCTACCACAGACTCTCCTCACGCCCGGCCCTCCCCCGCCGCCATCCCGCCCCGCGCTGGGGCCTCCTCCGCGCCAGCCCCTCCCTCTGCGGGCCCCGGCCCCTCGCTGTTCCTCCCGGAAGCGCCGGCGGCGTGTGCACGTATGAAGCGCGAGCCGTGCGCCTCGGAGGTCGCCCCCGCGGCGGCCGCGCTCTTCGCCTGGGTACGTGACTCCGCCCCCGGGCCGGGGCTGGGACTGAGGGGCTCCGCGAAGCTGGAGCGCCCGGCCTCGGCGTGGGTGGTGCAGGGGCCGGGCGGCCGAGGTCCCGGCCAGGCTCTGGGTTGGAGGCTCCTGGGCTGGGAGCTGAGGGGAGAGGGCGGGGAGAGAAGGGTCTTCGCGAGGTGACTCAGGGGCCTGCTCGCTGGTGGGGTCGGAACCGGAGAACCTGCTTCCAGGGGCAGAGTGGGTTCCACGAGAGCCTTCCGGCTCGGACGACACCTGGGACGACACCTCCACAGCGTGGAGGGCTCGGTAGAGAGAGGATCTCCAGGTCCCAGAGTCCTGTGGGAGCCACCTGTGCCGCTACCCTCCTGATGCCTGGAGGATGGAGGCCCTTTCCCAGCCTGACGGGAGCATCCTTTGGATGTGAGGCCTGCGGCGTTTGGCTTGCACTCTGCGCAGACCCTGCATATTTGCTGAAACTGTGCTGTGACTGGATCTTGCCTGTTTTGGGGGCGTGGGAGTCTGGGCTAGGGGGACGGGAGCACTGAGAGAGACAGGGTCATCTTTATGTGTGGCTGGGAGAGAGGAGGGTTTGTACACAGAAACGTGACAGGCAGCCAACCTGCATGCAAGAGCATAAGCAGATGTGTCTTGTGTTTATTCATAGCATGTATCGCAATTGTAATGACATGTATCGTTTGTTAAAGTCAGTCTCCTCAGCGAGAATGTAAGCGTCTTAAGGGTTGGTACTGTGCCTGTCTTGTTCACAGTGCCTCCCTTGGTGCCTGGCACATTTTAGGTCCCCAGTTAATATTTGTTGACTAAAGAATGAATGAATGAATGGATGAATGAGTACCTGTGTGCCCAGCCATGTGCTTGTGTTTGGGAATACACAAGTGTGAAAGTCTTCCAGCTCTTGTTTTGGAGGAGGGTAAAATTATAACCTATATTGCTATTAAAATCAGTATTTGACCAATTTTTAGGAAAAGTAATTATCAGTACAAGGCAGCACTTTTCGAATGTAGACCTGCAGTTGGAAGAGAGGAGAGAGCATGGTGTGGTAGTTTGGCTGTCTCTGCGTCTTTGAGGTGGCACTTGAGCTGGGGGTGGAGTTGGGGAGTGAATGTATATGCCGTCTCTGGCTTTTTCCAGGCTGGAAACAGGCATCTGTGCAGATGGAGAAAACATGGGACAAAGTCTTTCAGATATGGCCTTGTCTGTACTGAAACAGAAATACTGTTGGACCTCACCCTACTGCTGTGCTTGCAGGCCTGATGGTGTGTTTTTTTGTGTGGCATAATCTGTGTGTGTGGGTGTGTTAGGGCTACCATAACAAAATACCACAGACTAGGAGTCTTAAACAACTTAGATCTATTTTTTCACAATTCTGGGGCTAGACATCCAAGATCAAGGTGTGAGCAGGTTTGGTTTCTTCTGAGGCGTCTCTGTTTGGCTTGCAGATGGCCGCCCTCTCACTGTGTCCTCACATGGCTTTTTCTTTGTACGTGAGAATCCCTGGTGTCTCTTTTAAGGAAACCAGTCATATTGCATTAGGGCTCCACACTTATTACCTCATTTAACCTTAATTACCTCTTGAAAGGCCCTATCTCCAAATACAGTAATAGTCTGAGGTACTGGAGGTTAGGGCTTCAACATATGAATTTTGAGGGAATACATTTCAGTCCATAGCAAGGGGATTTACTTTGTTAGAGTTTGTGTGTGTGTGTGTGTGTGTTATGCCTGGAGTGTTTGTAAGGAAGGGAGGCAAATAGAGGTATAACAGATTGCATTAACTTTTCCTTCCTCTTGTTTTATTGTGAATTTAGGGCCTCCTGCTGCATTACAGAAACTTGTTCCATAATTTGAACCCCAGAGTGCCTGTGTCTCAATTACTTTTTCCTCAGATATCCAGTAGCCTGCAACCCTGGTAATGGGGCAGCCACAGAGATCTCAGGGATGACAAAGAAATCCTACACATATACACTCCACTTCACACTTCAACAGTCTTGATTGATTGATTGATTGATTGATTGACAGAGTCTTACTCTGTTGCCCAGGCTAGAGTGCTGTGGTGTCAGCCTAGCTCACAGCAACTTCAAACTCTTGGGCTCAAGGGTTCTTCCTTCCTCAGCCTCCTGAGTAGCTGGGACTACAGATGCCCACCACCGGCTAATTTTTTGTTTCTATATTCAGTTGTCCAGCTAATTTTTTCTATTTTTAGTAGAGATGGGGTCTCGTTCTTGCTCAGGCTGACCTTGAACTTCTGACCTCAAGTGATCCTTCTGCCTCAGCCTCCCAGAGTGCTGGGATTACCGACGTGAGCCACTGCACTTGGCCTTGCAACAGTCTTTTGTAGGGCCTCATAGGGTCTTAACATTCATTCGCCATGAAAGTATATGCACATCTTTGGGCCAGCACATTTTCAGACACAGGGGAAATAGCAATGAACAAAACAAAGTTCCTGCCCTCATGGAGTTTACTTTCTAGTAAACAACTAAACAAATATATAATATAATGTAAAAAGGAGTCATATGAAGAAAAAATACAGCAGAAAAGGGGATAAAGTGATAGGGGTGCTATTTTAGATAGGGTTGTACAGTAAGTCCCCCTGCCAGGTAAACTCTGGGCCGGTTAACCATGTATTCTTTTTTTTTCTTTCTTAGAGATATAGTAAGATATAGTATAAGAGTGGGGCATCCAACTTGTTGCCTGCCCAGGTTTTTAACTGTGGAAAGTTACCTAACCTCTGTGAGACTTAGTTTCTTTATGTGTAAAATGGGACTGATAATGCCCTTCTCCTTGGTTGTTGTGAGGATTAAAGGTGAATGCCCAGTACAGAGAGAAGCACTCAGTAATTGGTAGCTATTATTGCCCCGGAGGGCCTTTGGGACTTGTCTTCTGCCATGGCTTGCTCTTCTATCTTTGAGTCCTTCCAGCCCAGGATGGCTGTGAAATACACTATAAGGGCAAAAATTTTGTATGCATGTATGTATTTTTTGATAGTTATTTTACATCACTTTTCCTTACATACCTTCAAAAACAAATATATTTCAAATATTTTACTTCTCATCTCCAGGAAGAACCAGCTAGAAATAGATACTTGAAGAAATTATAAGGTTTTCTGATATCTTAATAAGATTCTCTATGTAGGTCCACAATCCCTTGTCTTCAATTTTGAATACAAAAGGCTCTGAAAATCCAAAACTTACCACACATAAGGCTATTTATAGTCTTTTCCCACTTCTTGTATTTGCACATTTTACTGCAGAAATATTACTGTTTTACATTACTATATGTGATATATATACTGTATTACTTTTCTATTTATTTATTTTTTATTTTTTATTTTTTTGAGACAGAGTCTCGCTTAATTGCCCAGGCTAGAGTGAGTGCCGTGGCATCATTCTAGCTCACAGCAACCTCAAACTCCTGGGCTCAAGCAATCCTCCTGCCTCAGCCTCCCCAATAGCTGGGACTACAGGCATGTGCCACCATGCCTGGCTAATTTTTTCTATATATATCAGATGGCCAATTAATTTCTTTCTATTTATTGTAGAGACGGGGTCTCACTCTTGCTCAAGCAAGAGTGGTTTTGAACTCCTGACCTCGAGCGATCCGCCTGCCTCGGCCTCCCAGAGTGCTAGGATTACAGGCGTGAGCCACCGCGCCCCGCCTGTATTACTTTTCTAAAATCTATAAAATTCTGAATCTGAAGTATATCTGGATGTAAGGGTTTCAGATTAGAGATTATGGACCTTTATTGTATAATAACAATAATAGATATATTGCCTATTAAGGGGAAATCTGTTCCCTTACAGAAATCTTACCATGTGAATCTTGGAGGCATGAAATACTGTACTTGGAAAGGCCCTTGGAGATCATTGCCAACCTCTTTCACCGTACAAATGAAATAATGATGCTTTAGGTCACAAGATCTTTAGCTAACTTTGATTATAGAAAGTCATTGCCAGTCTTCCCAGTGAGGGTGTGGGGAAAAGGGATAAGAACTAGTTCTAGGGTGTTTCCTACCCAATTCGTTAGCAGTTCCTCCTCATTTTTTTTGCCTTAGCCTCCCTAGATAGTGAGTTTTTGTGAGAAAGAATCCCTGTGCTGTCTCCCAAAGGCAATACATTGGAGTTGGAGCATTAGAAGGGAAAGATGAAGGATATCATTGATAAGTTGTGGATGCTAAGGGCTCCTCTCATGGTGTTCTGAAGGTGTGGCCACCATCTTAATAGAGGTTGCATATAACAACTTTTTATGAATGAGCCTACAACATCTCATCTGTTACAGGCTCTGAGAAGTATGTCAAGGTGGGGAAGATAGGGACAGGTAAATAGATATTGACAGCTCTGGTTCCCACATTTTTTCATCTTTGGCTTATTTTATCCCTAGGGTGCAAATAGCTATGGGCAACTTGGCCTCGGCCATAAGGAAGATGTGCTTTTGCCCCAGCAACTGAATGACTTCTGTAAACCTACATGTGTCAGGAGGATCACGGGAGGAGGGGGCCACTCTGCAATTGTGACAGGTAACTTCTTTCAAAAGTAGATAGCTACTTATTTTCTTTCTTTTTTTTGTATTTGTTAATGGTTTATTTATCAAGAGAAACTATTCTTCAGCCCACATATTCATAGCTTAGGAACTCAGCTCAGTGACAAACTTCCATGTATATCAACCCAAAGAAATTCTTTTATGTTCCAAAATCACTTTGCACTCTGACAGATGCCAGCCTTCCTCATCTCCTCAAAATCTTTCATAGAATCATAATTTCTGTAGAAATCTACGTATGCCTTCTTTCTTGGTTCAGGTACACCAAACTTACACAAAGTTGCAACTCCCAGGGATACGATGAATGCTCCAACAATATGAATCCACAGACGCCTGGCCAGGAGGCCACACATCTGAGGTTTTGCCAAAGTTCTGGAAGCCATGGTAGTTACTGTCCTTGATGGGTATGCCAACCTCAAGACGTCCTTCCTGGCTGATGGAAAAATGAAATGCCACCACTTATTTTCTTATTTAGACATTTCCCTCACCCAGGGATGTTATATTGCCATCTTTTAGCCTTTTGTATTTCATGGAGGAAAATATCTTTTTGAAAGACCCAAATTACCATCAGAGGATCCTAGATTGACAGAGCTGAGACTTAAGAGATATTCTAGGCCACCCTTCCTTCCCCTTTATTTTACAAATGAGGCTCAGAAGGGAACACTGATTGCTTAAGGTCACAAGGCAAATTAGTGGCAGAGTTACAACATAGATCACATTTTATACCATATCTTGCTATCTGATTTATGCATATGAGTTAGAAGTCTTTGCAATTAGATTGAATATTCCTTGAGAGCAAGAACCTTGCATTTTCCTAATCTTCCATCACAGTACCTAGGATGGTATTTAACAAATACTACAAGTGATATGATGTTACAAAGGAGGGCATATTGCATCTGGTTATGCACATGAGCTCGGGAATCAGAATGCTTGGGTTCAAATCCTGGTTCTTTGCCTTATTAGCTATGTGGCATTGGGCAAATAATCTTCCTGTGCTGTAGTTTCCTCCCCGTACACAGGGATAATATGGTGGATGAGGAGAACCAGCAAGTTAACAGGGGGGCACTATGACTTTCATGGGACCTTGGTGCTTTTTCCTTTATGGACTCCTTTCTCCATAAAGAAATATTAAAAATTATATTTTACAACTGTATTGGTATAAAGGTGAATATAATCCAGGCTGGATTTAGTATTATACATGCACTGTTACTACATTATTTTTTCTTGTTTTAAGAGAGTTTAAAATTAAGCCATTCTGTGGGTCTCTAAAATATTGTGGGCATACACACTGTGCCTAAAGGGTAAGTCACCCCCATATGTAAAGCGTGGCACCTTCTAAATGTTGAATAAATGTTGGCTTTTCTTGTTACAGTAGATGCTCAACTTGGTGATTGATTGGCTGCTGCTATAGGAGTTGGAGTTTTCAGTTAGGTATTAGATTTGAGGCCCTTGGCTCTATGGCATTTGGCTCCAGAACACGTTAGCATATGTGGCTTATTAATTTGTGTGGGAATACAAATTATTGGTCTATGACTCCAAATAATTAGCGAAATCTTTTTGTTCACTTTGGCCATCGTGTTGTCCCCTGTGCATACTATCACTGAAGCCTTTATGTTTTACAGATGGAGGAAGCCTTTTTGTTTGTGGCCTGAACAAAGATGGGCAACTGGGGCTTGGTCACACAGAAGATGTCCTGTATTTTACCCCCTGCGAATCCCTCCTTGGCTGTCCCATCCAACAGGTGGCCTGTGGCTGGGATTTTACCATTATACTCACAGGTGAGTTTACTCCTAGGTAAATCTTTGCTACCACGAAGGCTCTGGGTGAGAACAGGATGATGGTGGTGACCACTGATTAAATGAAAGTTTCTTTGTGTTTAAAAAACACAAATGTTTTATCTGGTTGTTAAGGAAAGTTGTAGGGTACCTTTTACAAGGAGAGGTTTTCCCCCTTTTTTTTCTTTTTAAAGAAATTTTATGGATTTAGGGGGTACAAGTGCAGTTTTGTTACTAGGATATATTGCCTCATGGTGAAGTCTGGGCTTTTAGTGTAGTCGTCACCTGAATAGTGTACATATATATACCTGTTAAGTAATTTCTCATCTACAAGGAGAGTTTTAACAGTAAAGGAGATTGAGATTGGGCTGAAAAACTTTTGCCAGAGACCAGGGAATGGACTAGATCACCTTTGGTGGCCACTTCATGTCCCAAAAGGACATGATAAGCTGTGTGCCTGGGCTAGCTGGCCAAGGTGTGGCAGGTAAGGGATGTGGTGGGGAAGAATGAGGAAATAGAGGTTGCCATAGCAGTCATGTCAGCTTTTTCCCACTGAGGGCTTTTTTTTTTTTTTTTTTTAAATAAATGGGATTGGGCAGAATTGTTTGGTCTCTGTGAAGCCAGGTAGCAGAATAGGATGTAGAAGCATGTGGTCAAAGGGTTAATAGAACAATGCTCTTGGGAATAGCTGGCAGTAGTTACTTGGTCAGCTGACTTCTGTTCCCTTGAGGCATTTTTGACCTTTCTGTCCCACCTTGCCCTGTCTAGCTGGTCATATTTAGCACATGGCCTTCTATATTTCTGTTACCTGTCTCTTATTCTCTAAGCTCCTCATACTTTTTTTTCTGGTAGTACCAAGCAGTACATATTCTTCTCTCTGTCTGGGCCAGCCCCTCTTGTCTATCTGATGAACTCTTTTTTTGAGACAGAGTCTCCCTCTGTTGACCAGGCTGGAGTACAGTGGTGTCATCATAGAGGAATCTCAAACTTCTGGGCTAAAGTGATCCTCCTGCCTCAGCCTCCTGAGTAGCTGGGACTATAGGCACACACCACCACACCTGGCTAATTTTTCTATTATTTTTGTAGAGAAAGGGTCTCACTTGTGCTTAGGCTGGTCTTGAACTCCTGACCTCAAGGAATCCTCCCACCTTGGCCTCCAAAGTGCTAGGATTACAGGTGTGAGTCATGATGCCTGGGCTTTCTGGTGAATTCTTATCCCATCTTTAAAACCCTGCTCAAGTGTAGCATTTTCTTCTGTGGAGGAGTTCCATAATATGTGTGGAATTTTACAGTAATTATTAGAATCCAAATAATAGCCATGAAATACTTACTGTGGGTCTATGTTGGAGTTGTAGGGAGTCAGTAGATAATACTGTTTCCTGCTTACATTTGGATCCAATTGTGAGAAAGGCATAGAGCAGTCAGAATTGGAGATCAAACTATCAGCTTTTAGCCGGGCGCGGTGGCTCACGCCTGTAATCCTAGCTCTCTGGGAGGCTGAGGCGGGCGGATTGCTCGAGGTCGGGAGTTCGAAACCAGCCTGAGCAAGAGCGAGACCCCGTCTCTATTATAAATACAAAGAAATTAATTGGCCAACTAATATATATAGAAAAAATTAGCCGGGCATGGTGGCGCATGCCTGTAGTCCCAGCTACTTGGGGAGGCTGAGGCAGGAGGATCGCTTGAGCCCAGGAGTTTGAGGTTGCTGTGAGCGAGGCTGACGCCATGGCACTCACTCTAGCCTGGACAACAAAGCGAGACTCTGTCTCAAAAAAAAAAACAACAAAAACAAAAAAACACCAAAACTATCAGCTTTTTACTGATGAAGGCTAAGTTGGAGGACAGGGTTAATTATGAGGCCAAGTGGTTCTGGTCCAAACTTACCCCCAAAACTCTAGGCCTTCCCCACAGGGGAAACCCTTACTGTGTGTCAACTCAGAATGTCTGAAAGGAAGGTGCCAAGCCACACATGTCTTGTCCCTTCTCCTAAACTCACTAGTTGGTTAGGTGACCCTTTATCCCCTAGAAAGCAGTGAGTATGGGGAAGGGCAGGGAAAAAGGCAGGAATGTTACAGGAATGGCAATTCTGTCACATGGAAACATGAAAAGTAGGGAATAATTGTCCTCCCATCCCAACACTAGGCACTGGGCTAAGTGTTCTACACAAATAATCTGTCTTTAGTGAGATAATAGAATAGATGTTTGTGTAGAGCCTTTAGCCTGGGCCCAGTGTTTTCATTTCTGGAGGAATAAAAGCAGGGATATGGTCTGAGTGCCCTGAAGCCTAGGATCTCTACCACCTCCTCTCATTCCCTTTGCACCTCTCGCCTTTAGCATTTGCCCATTGGTCACAGATATCTATTTCATAGATTTGCAATTTAAGTACTTGCTTTTGCAGAAGATGGCCAAGTTCTATCATGTGGATCCAACTCTTTTGGCCAGTTAGGAGTTCCTCATGGACCTCGAAGATGTGTGGTTCCCCAGGCCATTGAGGTGAGTGAGGACAGCTAACATTTAGCTTGTCCATATTCTGTTAAAGTGTTTTACAGTAAAGGGTGTTACAGTTATCCTTCCCCAGAATAAAAGGTTGGCTGAGTCTCTGAAAACTCATGGGGTAGGAGAATTGGAGTTGAAAAATAGGTGCTTCTGGGAAAAATTAGGCTGAGGGGGATGGATGTTGTGAGTGAAAACCCTCTCTTAGTCCTCATACACATGATAAAGTTTTGTGAAATACACCAATAAAGGTAATGCATTTTATAAGGACATTAATGACATTTTAGTTCTAAAATTAGTAATAGTGGGAACTATGTTAGAAACAGGTCCAGATACAAGTGACTTGCCAAAAGATACTTAGCTAGGCTAGTGCTAAAATATAATGTGAGCCACATGTAATTTAAAATTTTCTAGTAGCCACATTTTAAAAAGAACAGGTGGAATCAATTTTTAAAATAATGACTTTGTTGAGATATAATTCAGGTACTATAAAATTCACCCTTTTATAATGTATAGTTCAGGGGTTTTAGTATATTCACAGAGATGAGCAGCTAGCACCACTATGTAATTTTAGAACATTTTCATCACCTCCAAAAGAACCTGTGTACCCAATAGCAGTTACTTCTTATTTTCCCTCCCCTAGCCCCTGGTGACTACTAATCTACTTTCTGTCTCTATAGATTTGCCTGTTCTGGGCATTTCATATAAATGGAACCATATAATATGTGACCTAGCTTTTTTCATTTCACCTCATGTTTTCAAGTTTTATCTATTTTGTAGCATGTGGGTGAAATTAAATTTTCTTTCTTTCTTTTTTTTTTTTTTTTGAGACAGAATCTCAGTCTGTTGCCCCGGCTAGAGTTCTGTGGCATTAGCCTAGTTCATAGCAACCTCAAATTCCTGGGCTCAAGCAATCCTCCTGCCTCAGCCTCCCAAATAGCTGGGACTACAGGCATGCGTCACCATGCCCGGCTAATTTTTTTTTTTTTTTTTTGAGACAGAGTCTCACTTTGTTGTCAGGCTAGAGTGAGTGCCGTGCGTCAGCCTAGCTCACAGCAACCTCAACTCCCTGGGCTCAAGCGATCCTCCTGCCTCAGCCTCCCGAGTAGCTGGGACTACAGGCTGCGCCACCATGCCCGGCTAATTTTTTTTTTTTTTATATATATCAGTTGGCCAATTAATTTCTTTCTATTTTATAGTAGAGACGGGGTCTCGCTCTTGCTCAGGCTGGTTTTGAACTCCTGACCTTGAGCAATCCGCCCGCCTCGGCCTCCCAAGAGCAGGATTACAGGCGGGACCACAGCGCGCCGCGCCTAATTTTTGCTATAATATTTTAGTGTTTCGCTAATGTCTTTCTATTTATAGTAGAGATGGGGTCTCGCTCTTGCTCAGGCTGGTGGTGAATCTGAGCTCAAACAATCCGCCCACCTCGGTCTCCCAGAGTGGTAGGATTACAGGCGTGAGCCACCTCTCCCGGTCAAATTTTAATAACTTTTTAATTAAACTAGTATATCAAAACAATTATTTCAATATGTCATCCATATACAATTTGTTTATAATGTGTTTGATATTCTTTATTTTGTAATAAATCTTAGAACTCTGGTGTGCATTTTTTACTTACAATATATCTTAATTTAGTCTAATCACATTTCAAGTTCAGTGGCCGTGTGTATCTAGTGGTAACTATATTGAACAGAATAAGTGTTAAACCCTCTGCCCTAGCTCAGAGTTCTTTTCACCACATCATACTTAGAATGTACACTTTTTTATGAAGTTTATATTTTAAGTGATCATAATGGAAATATGGAATTTTAAAAGAAATATGCTGGAATCTAAAATGAGTTTCACCACCCAAGCTGCCACACTTCTATTTTCCTTGAACTCTGATTAAGAGTGGGAAATCTGTTTTTATTGGAGAGAGCTCAGCTTTGCTCCTGTCATTTTGCAGAACTTAGTTGCTGGTCTATGGGGTGTTATTTAGGGTAATGGTTCCTATGGTATGCACACAAACCTAGGCTCTGTAGTCCCTGTAGGAGATGTTATAGATCCTAATTGCAAATAGTTGGCCTTGTAAGAACCTACATATGAGTTATAATTAATTTAGCTTAATTATAATTCATATAATTAAAGAAGACAGGAACAGTGGTGAAAATATGTTGGATGACAGAATCAGAAAGTAAAAACATTTTGACAGGCTGTATTCTCTGGAATAATAGGAGGAATGTGCTAAAATGAAATATAATAAAAATCCATTGATTTATTTAATGGCAACTATTGTGTGTTCTTCTGTGGATTTGGTGCTTAGGCATTGTGTTTAGGCAGTGGGAACAAAGGTGAACAAGACCTCTGCTAGCATTTGAGAGTCTTATAGTTTAGTTATACATGATAGATACATAAATAACTAAATGCAATATCATGTTAGAACTATGGCAGATAAATGTATGTCCCCCAAAGAAGGCATATTGGACTCTTACCTAGAGTAAGGTGGTGTGAGAACAGGATTAAGCTAAATTTTAAGTAGAAGTTTACCTGGTTTGGGACAGGAGGATGCAGAGTAGGTGCAAAAGAAGAGCATTCTTGGCAGAAGGAACTGTTTAAGCAAATGTATAGAAGCACAAAACTAGGGACCTTGGGATACTTTAAGCAGTTTAGTATGTGTGAATGTGAGGAAGAGGTAGGAATGCCAGAGTAGAGTGGGTGGGAAGGGGAAATCAGGGTGGTGGTATATGACATATGATAAGAACAGCATGGTAGGGTGGCCAGCCAGATAGGGTAGCATGGGGGATGGATTGAAGAAAGATTACCTCAGAACCTCTTGCTAACAATCCAGACAAGAAATGATTGTGGCCCAAACTAAAGCAGTGGCAGTGGGGATGGAGAGAAAGAGATGGAGATAAGTGGTGTTGAAGAAATTAAAGCCACATGTACAGCCCTTCTGTAAATGTTGGGAGAAAAAAGAAAGATGAAAATTTAAAATTTAAAAGACAGTGTGTTCCAATTGTATTAAGAGTAAGATTTGATATTCCCAATAGCTAATGTGATTGTGGACTCCACTAACAGAAGTATAGTCTCCAGAAGGAAGACCAGAGCTCTGTGCTTTATACTCGTCAGACTGCATCTGGGTGTTGTGCTCTGTTGTGGATTTGGTGCTTAGGCCCTGAGCATAAAGGGAAATAAGACTGAGGCCTTGCTCTTGAGGGTCCTAAAGTTTTGAAAGACACCATGGACCTATAAATAAGCAAATGTGGAAAAGCCCCATAGAGGCTGTGACTGATCCATATATAGTCCCTTTAAAAGAGAGATGGAACCACCAGAGTGTATGTGGAAGAGAGAAATCAGGAGGGGGAGAGAGCATTTAAAGCCCTGTGATAGCTTATGGAACTAGGGATATTCAGCCTAAAGAAGAGATCTGTGTTCGTTACCTGTTGCTGTATAACAAATCACTTCAAAACTTAGCAGCTTGAAATAACAAACATTTATTATCTCACAGTTTCTGAGGATCAAGAATCTAGGAACAGCTTAGGTGATCTCTCATGAGGCTGCAGTCAAGATATCAGCTGGGTCTGCATGCAGTCTCTGAATACTCTGCTGGGCTGGTGGATGCATTTCCAAGCTCTCTCCTGTGGCTATTGGCAGGAGGCTTTAGTTCCTTGCCATGTGGGCCTGTCTATAGGACTGTTCAGACATGGCACCTGGCTTCCCTCAAAGGTAATTTGAGAGAGAGATATGCCAAACAGGAAGCCTCAGTGCCTTTTATCACCTAGTCTCTGAGTCACTTATTGCTTCCTTATTCTTTTCATTAGAAGCATGTCACTAAGTCCAGCCCACACAGGGGAGGGGAATTAAGCTCCACATCTTGAAGGGAAGAGTATCAAAGAATTTGAGGGCCTATTTTTATAACCACCACAAAATGTCTTAGGGAGGACATGACAACTGTCTTCAAATATTTGGAAAGCATTGTCAGAAGCTACAGGCAGAGAGGTTTGGCTCCACCTAAAGAAATAAATGGAACTGTGCAAAGATGGAACAGGCTCCTGGGGAGGTGGTGAGCCTGTGTCACCAGAGGTGTTTGGCAGGGATTAGATGACCACTTGATGGGGTGCTATGGAGGAGTTTCTAGCATTGGATGGGGATTGGACTGGATTAGGGTGGGAAAATTAGAGCCCTTAGGAAATAAAGTCTTACTGGCAAACAGCCATGCTCATTCATTTATATATAGTATAGAGCTGCTTTTCTGTTACAATGACAGAGCTGAGGAGTGTGACAGAAACTGTATGGCCTAAAGTGTAAAATATTTACTATCTGATTCTTTATAGAAAACATTTACTAACCCTTGGACTAGATGATCTTGAATGTCCCTCCCAGCCTTGAGAGGCATTGTGACATGGTACTGTGATATGGCATTTTAATTTTATTTATTTATTTACTTATTTTAGAGACAGGGTCTCGCTCTGTCACCCAGGCTGGGCTCAAGTGATCCTCCCACTTCAGCCTGCTGAGTAGCTGGGACTGCAGGTGTGCACCATCACGGCCAACTAATTTTTTTTCTTTTAAAGAGATGGAAGTCTTGCTTGTTGCCCAGGCTGGTCTCAAACTCCTGGCTTCAAGTGATTCTCCTGCCTTGGCCTCCCAAAGTGCTGGGATTACAGATGTGAGCCACCACACCTGGCTGTGATATGGCATTTTAAAAAGGCTTTTTTCCTTTGGGGAGATATATATATATATATATCTATATCTATATCTATATCTATATCTATATCTATATCTATATCTATATCTATATCTATAGAGAGAGAGAGAGAGAGAGGTATTTATGAGTAGAAATGTTGGGGAGGGGTGTTTTGAACCAGTCAGACACATAATAAGGATCATGCTGCATTGTATTTGGGCATAAATTACATAAAATTTTGTAGATGGATGATTCTGAGATCTAAATCCTTTATTTTGACA